AGGACGCCTTCAGTCTCCTGGCATACAGTGATCCGTGGAATTCGCCGGTGGGCTGGCATCTCAACCCCAGTGAACGGGAGGGCGTGTGTCAGCAGCTGAACAACGCCATCGTCATGTCGGACGCCGGTGGTGGCAGTCATCGCGTGGCGCTCGAGACCATCATTAAGCATACGAAGGCCCTGTTGGCTAAGAACGGCCAGTGCGGCGCCTGGATTGTAGACAAAATCTAATTATTTATAAATAATTGAGTAGTTTTTCATATAATTTATATCAATATATATCGATTGCGTTTTCATGTCGTCCCCAAACGAATGCCAATCCCTGTCCAGGAATGCAACACAAACTTGAGAAATATAATGATAAGTAATATACAGTATATTTACAGTAACTCTTACGGTAATCGATATATTTAAAAGAAATTTCTGTTTGAAATAATGACTAAAACATTAATCAAATGTTTGTTTAATTATAATATCGCTTTAAAATGTAATCTTTTTCTATAAGTGAATATAAAATACAATACAATTTGATGAATAAAATAATGAATTGAATAACAATATTACGGTTTCTATACTAATAATCAGTCCGTTTCTTAGTGTGGTATAGAGTTCTGTGAAACGGTCTGAACCTTTCATTTTTGCAGAGCTCATCCAAACTGTCCTTTTGTTTCTTGACGTCAACGTCTGGGAACTTCTCCTGCAGATACTCGAGATCCAGGTCTGGGAATCTCCTCATGAGTTGTCGACAATAGAATGACTGACGAAAGATCGCAGACTTCTTCTCCTTTAACTTCTTCTCTTTGAGTTTAAGGTTGAATTCAATGACATCTTTGCCAAAACCCGGGGCATTCATAGCTCTCCACTTTGTGTTCATTCGATAGGGCATCATATGCTCCGAACACCCGATCCTGAGGTTCAAACAACATATTAACAAATATGAGACAAACATATGAGACAAATGTCTCATTAATCGCAGTCAACACTAATTACAATCCCTTTCATTAAACCTAACATTTCTATTACTAATTGAAAAGTGATGTCAACCTCTCCAAAGACACTACACTTAAGAATGAGATCTGAACTCAATTTAATGCTAAACACAACTAAACGTATGAATGGATGCATACCATCGCCAGCGACCGAATATATCTCTGCGGAAGGCTTTGGGCCGTTCGCCAGTAGTTCCCTCCCCGACCTCCAACTCCCAGTAGGCTTTGTTGCGTTCGCGCACCACATCCTCCAAGTTCTTCATACTGATCTCCACTTTATCGATGCGTTCAGGACTTGCGAGCACTTCATTGGCCTCTTTGGCGGCCTCTGCCATAGTCATCAACATATTCCTCTCCTTATACAACACATACCATAACTTATGCAAATCACTGTTGCTTTTGATCCGCAACTCGTCTTTACGCCACTCACGACCTTAAGACAACAGATCCGTTAGTCATCACATCGCGCGACAAGTCCTAATCCATGGCAAACCTGTTTTGATCTCAGTTTCGGTCCAATTCTTGGGGTCGTCGAAGAACTCCATCAGATCTCTGTTGGCGGACGTCCTGTGAATCAATCGCTGTTGACATCCATTTATCACCGCAATTGGTCTTAAGATGG